AAAACATTCACCCTGCCCTTGTTTATTATTGCCCTGTTTATTAAGTAATTTAGCGTGTATATGTGGTCTATCGTACTTTTTCCCTTCCTAAATCCCGCCTGGCTCGGCGGTAAGATTCCCTTCCCCTTCACCTCCCTCCTTAACCTTTCCGCCAGCACTGCCGCATATATTTTGTACGCTGTTTGGGTCAACGTTATCCCTCTGTAATCCCCTGCCTCCTTTCCTTTTCCCTTCTTCAATATTGGTATTACTATCCCTTCCCTCCACTCCTCCGGCCAACCTTCTCCCTTCCATACTCTGTTACAAATTTCCCATAACCATTTCCTCACTTCCTCCCCTCCTAATTTTCACACCTCGTTCACAATGCCATCCCCTCCCGTCGCTTTTCCTGACTTTAGATTATTTACCACCCTGTCCAATTCTTCCTTACTAATCTCACCCTCTTCCTCTATCTCTCCGTTTCTCTCTCCTCCCTCCCTTCTTGTCCACCTTTTTACCCCTCCCACCATCTCTTTATAATAATTCTCCCATTCTTCCACCTTCAATCCTTGAACCGTCTTCCTCCTTTTGTTTCTTTCTCTTCCTATCACTTTCCAAACCTGCTTTTCCGTTCTTACCTCTTGTAGTTCTCTTTCCCATTCCTCCCTCTCTTTCCTCTTCTTTTCCTTACACATTATCCTATAGTCCCTCCTCAAGTTCTTATATTCCTCTCCTTCTCCCCCTACGCTCCTCCATATCTTTAGCTCTTCTTTTACCCTGCCCTTTAATTCTCTACATTCCTCATCCCACCAGCCCCCTTTTTTCTTTTTCCCCCAGTTCTTTTCTACCCTTTTCACCACTTCATTAACCCTATCCTTCAAATTCCCCCAGTCCTCTTCTACCTCCCCCCCTTCCTTCTTCCTTTTCTCCAAAATATTCTTCAAATCTTCCTTCTTCTGTCCATACTCCCCTCCCCCCTTTTATCCTTCCTCTTCTTTTCCTTTCTACTCTCCCCTTCTTTCCCTTTATCCATACCGTTAACGGCTGATGATCCGAATCAACTCTTTCCTCAACCTTCATCTTTTCTGCCCCTCTCCTTGACTGTTCATCTCCCATTATATAATCTATTACCGACCCCCCTCGCCCACCCGTGTACGTCCATTCGCCTGCTTCATCCCCTTCTATGCACCCGTTGAATATTGACCAGCCTCTCTCCTCTAAAAACCTACACAGTTTTCTTCCTTCTCTATTACATTTCTTATCTCTCGAACTCCTTTTCCTTTCGTCTTCCTCTTCCTCTCTATCTTCTTCTACTCTTCCCCCTTCATTTCCTGTTCTCGCATTGAAGTCCCCCCCTACTATTAATTCCACCCCTTCTTCTCTATTGTCTGTCCAGTTACAGACCTTTTAATTATCTTCAAATCTTCAGAATTATTTATTCTTATTCAACAAAAATACATATATGCATACATAAATACACGTAAATACATATATTACTTAATTAAATCGTATTTTATTCAATTAAATGTACATTTTTATTTTTATAAAATATATAGGTGTTATTAAAAACTCAAATATATATAATATATATATTTTTAAAGATTTGAAGATATATAATATGAAGATTTGAAGATAATTAAAAGGTCTGTAAATTTTTTTAAGGGCAAAAATAACCAAAAATCATTAAAAATACGGATTTTCGACAATTTAGGGGTGGCGCACCTTCCAAAAAATCTGAAAAAATTTGTGAAATTAAAATTACCGAAAAATATTATTCACAAAAAAATTGGGGGTGAAGCCCTCTCAAGCTCGAAAATATTGCGATTTTTCACATTTAGGATTTTTTTAAACTAAGAAGATAGGTCTCCTGCGCATTGAAAAAATTTGTATTAATGCAGTTCTATTATGTTTAGATACTCAATTTTTTAAATAATTTTTCATTAGACAGGGTTTGAGAAAAAAACTATTAGGCAAAATTAGCGATTTTTTGCGTTATTGAAGGTGGGGTGGGGGAAGGGGGGACGGAGACGTTACAGTAAATTTTGTTGTTAGTATATACACATGTACAGACACTTGGTTTTCCTTTTAAAAGATAAGGTCATTTTGACTGTCTTAACCGGAGGTACTCTTTGCACAAGTTATATCTAATCTTATATCTATCGTTAATAATAAAAGTCAACGTAGAAATTATGTGTCGCAATATCAGACGTTTCATAATTTTAAATGTGATAAAATTCTGATATACTAATGTTTGTGATAATGGTTGTGATTGATGTAATGATTGTAATAAATATGTCATAAGCAGTCAAATATAACGTTTATATATTACTATCTACATGTCTCTATTCCAGGTAGAACATAAAATTCATAAAGACGTCATTATGACATTATCATGATTTTATTCAACATTTAAAAGTTTTCTAGATATGTCCAGATAACTTTTATGTGATAAATAAAATTGTGATAGTCATAATGACGTCATTATGAGTTTTATGTTCTATCTGGGTATCATATTACGAATAGTCGAACTAATGTCAAAATTATGTCACGATTTTGACATCAAGAAAGCATAAAAAATTTATGCAACTTGACATCATTTTGACTTTTTTATTCTCCTTGGGGCTCTATAAGCGGTCTATAGCAGGAAATCTCCGCTATGATTGGCCTGTGTCCGTTTGTTCTGTACGCATCTGAACGCTCTCCGGTCAAACTGTTGCAATGCCTAGAAGTATTAATTAGTTTTTTTTTCGTTATCTTAGCATTACAAGAGATTATTATAATTATAAAGTTTATAAATTTTAAGTAATTTTTAAGAAGTTATAAAATAAATGTTCTGTTGCATGTTCATGAAATAATTTAAACGTTAAAAAGTGATTCACAAATATAAGATAAACAGTCGAATACGTATGAATGTTAAGAAAGTTATTTTTCTTATGTGCGAAGGATAAATAAACGGTAATTTTTCATATATTGTATTGAATTTTATTTCACGGAAACAGGTACCTCTAACAATGCATTTCTTTTAGTAGTAGTAATAGTAGTAGGTTTATTGAATCCCCTTAGGGTTACAAGGCGTTTTTACGAAACGTTCCCAAACCTCTCGTCTCTCCTAATCCTCTCTCTACATACATTCATATCACATGTATTGGCGCTTTTTCAGGGAGCGTTCCCGAACCCTTTCCAATTCTTTTTCCCCTATCTCCTCGCGACCTGGCCGTATGCGACCTTTACAGCCTATTACCCCCCACCCTCTCGTCCCTCCCTCTGAACCTCCCTCCATTTCTTCTATTGGCGACGCAAAGATTTCCCGAGCGCTCCTGGCGGCTAGATCTTAAAGTAGCGTAAGTGAGACATATGTAAGGCGGTGGAAGTACTAGGCGCACGTGTTAGTGTTTATTATCACATTTTCTGGAATAATGTCGAAGATTCTTTCTGTTGTGGATCCCATGAACGTCACTAAAGGCTTTGTACGTCCAATGCGTGAGGGCGAGCAAGTACTCGAAAGTGATTTAATTGTATCAGTAGGACTAAAGGAAAAGAAAGATAGTGTACTACACATTCAGGCCCTCGTCCTGAGAACCTCGGGTCTTACTACTCAACATCCTTATTTAGTTGAACTTTGGGTGAACTTGGAAGAAGAATATGGATCACGGTTGGTAAAAGACCAGTCTCTAGAGTGTGGCTGCCCAGCTGGGCAATCCGAAAAATGTAAACATATTGTAGCTGTTCTTCTCTATCTAACAAGGTTAGCCTTCTCAAGTGTCCTATTGTCTTGCCTTTTTATTTTCATTGCTAAGCACCGACTTCACTATAAGAAAAGAA